ATTACAGTAAGCCCTTCCTTTTGACCACTCACCCTTCCCAAGATGTCCAAGTGCCTATACCCCTCCTGCCATTCCCCTCTCTTAACATAAACACAATGTGAACTTGAAAATAGCTCTATGTAACTTACTCGGCATGAGAAAAACTAAACTTTAACCAACTAATGTCTAACTTTTCCTGTATTAGTTTGATATGATGGGTATATTCTACTTGATGATTTAGAATGCAAGTATTTTTAATTGGAAAATATATTAACCTATTAAAAACATGGATACAAAATTATGAATACAGTATCATATACGCTAGAATCCTAATTGTCCTACCCCGACAACTAGCCTTGGCAAGGTTGGAGATAGTATTGACGACACAGTAGAAGTTTTTAAGGCACTCGCCATGGCTTGTACCTTAAATTTTCTACTCGTATCGTTAACACTATTTACGCGATTTGCGTACATTACTTTACCTACGACAGTGTTTTAATTACTAAAAATCACTAATAACTTCTAAGAGCGGTTATGTTTTCGTTTATAACCTCTCATTGCCACTGACAGTGATGCAACGAAACATCGTACTAAACACTACTAATTGCAAAACTCAACAATTAAATTAGCCTGAACAGCTGATTAGTTGAAGTTCGAATCATTACAATTTTACTTCTTCTCTGTCACTCCTTGAACCTCATTGGTCCGTTACCCGTGTTGTTATGAGTAAAACTATGCTGTTATGAAAGTAAACAATGCTGTTATGAGATACTTATCAATTCTAAGAACTATACTGAAATGGCTACTTTAAAAAACTGTCGTAGGTAAAAAGTATTAAATGATTATAACATGTTAAAACCATTAGAAAAGGTAATAAAAAAAGATTTGTCTCAATAAACCAATACCGTATAAAGTCATACCACACAGATATACCGCACAATATCATGATAGGGCCTACTTGTTCATCCTCAGGGAGGGTCAATACCAAAGGGACCGTCCGCATATTACCATTGACTATATACCTGTAGGTATATATAGTCAATGATATTACGTAACAAGTTTTTCATAACTTTTAACATTTTTTTCATTTTGGTACTTTGGAAAAAAATGATTTAAAGTGCGTTACCAAAACTATCTTGAAACCCCCCTCCCCCTCCTCGTAATGCTTCGTGAACCCCTCTCCCCGTCCTTACGTAATATGTGGACGGCCCCAAAGATGGTATAATCGAGACTCTACTGTATTAGTTTTAAAATGCCATTAAAAAAAACAATAGCAATTAAATAACAGACATTACCCAAAGATCAACATTAGCTAAACGTATTTTAACATCAGATCACGATCACAAGATTATATTAATCCTTAAAGAATTGGAATTCAGTTTGCCAAGGAGGATTGATTATACATACATGATAGCAACATATTACCAATTTTACATTATTTCCCTGTATATGTCTAAAACATGTTATAAACAAGTTTAAAATTATAGTATGTATTTCTAATTTTAATTAATTTAAAACAGACAACAATTATTAAACTTATTAGGCCTATTTGGGAAATACATCAATTACTGAAATGAGTTACTTTTATCATAGTTAATGATTAAGAGGGTACTTGGTTATTATTAATTAAACTGTTAAATATGGTGTGTATGATTAACACGTTCGCTACTGCAATAGTACGACATTTTTGAAGGCACTGAATTCCCTGCAGTGGTCTACAGAGATGTCTGACGCACAACTGCGTCGCTTGGTCTGTGGATATGATAGTTGGAAAAACTGGTCTTTACTTTCCTGCATCACTGTGTGTATATATGCAGTATGTATGCCGCATTATCCTATGTAGCTTTTATATTTGTTCAGTTATAAACTGTTCTTAAATAATCTGTTTTTTACCTACTTTCACCTCAAAACACAAACAAAATTAAACTGTTGCATATATGTTTGGGCGATTTCAAGAAAACTATGATAATTTTCACTATTGTCTTCACTGTAGACCAGGCGTCGCTAATATGCAACATTACAAAAGGTTATAAAAAATACAAAAATAAATTATTTACAAACATGATTACAGCGTATAATGTAAATGATCACTGTTTTACAGGTTTTCACCGTGGTCTGTGTGTACTGTTAACTAAGTGACATCCGGTCTATGTGTAAGATTCAAATGTATACCTCGGTCTGTGGCGATGACCGCGGTGGCGCATATCGTGTTAAGCCATTGAATGTACAGTGTTTGTTGAGCCAGGTTCACATTGACCTCTGAGTTTGTTCAAGGCATCACTGATGAAGGAATACAAATTGGTGATATGTTGTTTTTGCTGGTTTCAAGTAAAGCATCTGAATTTGTGTGTTTGTACATCAGAGTCTGTGTAGGAGCCTGTTGAATTTCACTTGTAAGTTTTTGTATGTAATTTGTTAAGTATTTGTGGGTCATGACGTTTCGCAGTTGTCGGAAGGACTTCTGGTAATAGGAAACAACTGTAATATTTGCCTGCATTTCTTTTTTAAATTTCATCAGGTTAGAAACAAACTGGCTTGGGCTCACCTTATATTTAACACAAAAAATTGGAGAGCATATCAGATGTTTTAGTTTACCTTTCTTAAAGTCTTCAGTAGGTATTCAAACGCAGTCTTGTAGCTCAAGGGTTAGTTTGCCAAAATATCTGTCTTTTGTGACAAGACTGTATACTTCAGCTTACTGTCTTGCAGTTAGAGATCAGTAACACAATGAGCTGCTATTGGTTTCTCAAAGTGCTTTGCAAACAATACAGCCCGCTGTCATACGGTCGTCGTCAAAATATCCAGAAATGCTATGAGCGAAGGCTACTTTTCAGTCATTCTGGTGCTTTTCAATCTTTAAAGACATCGACATTTCAGTCACACTTATTCCTACATGATTTTCTGGAATGTTTGAACGATCTCTGGACAGGATGTGTTATTTATGTGTACACCATGATGTAAGAAGTGGTTTCTCTTCAACACATCCAAATCAACTAGACTCAACTACTCAACTACTCTATTAGACAATTTGCTCAAGTAATTATTTACAAGGCATATTTCTTCATTAACTGCATGCTTCTTGTGCACATCAAATTTGTGTGGTACGGTTGTAACCAATCCTGGCTGGTGTTGGCTTAGATTATTTAATTTGGATTCTAGGGCTGTAGATAGGAGTCATATAATTTTTCAATGAATCGTTAGATCCTCCAATAAAGACAACTACATCATCTTTAGATTTTAAGAGCAATGCAGTGTCTGTTACTTGATGGAATGAAGCGTTAGGCATTAACTGAACCCATTGCTTTTGACTTTTTAAATTTGGTTGTAAGTTTTTACAGCTCAAAATATTTAATGAAATCACCGTATTACAATTGAAAATACAAAGCAGTTTTGTAGTTTTACTTGAGTACTTGATCTCTTCATCGTTGACCAACAAATGTTGGATAGATTGGGTCATTAGATTGGGCTACTATACAAAAACACTATTTACATATATACAATTAAACTGAACTGACGGATGTGACTTTTTTGGGGAAGGCGAGTGGCTCGTCAAACAGTTCTTTTACAGAGTACAAGAGTAGGCTCTGGCGAAGTGCGGATTTGAATCGCTTTGAGTCTAGAGCTCGGATATTAGTCGGCAGAGTGTTGAATAGTTTTATCGCTATTGAGGGGTATGACTGAAGTGTGTGGCGAAGCCGACAACGAGGTAGGTCAAGGTCACCAGCTTCACGGGTCCCATAATTGTGCTGCATGCTTCTAGTTGAGAAGTTAGTTACTGCCTGCCATTTTGATGACATTCCTTATAGTCATTTATAGTTAGACAATGACTCCCATAGTCAATGATTGGCCTTTTGTATCTCTTCATAATGGATTTCCCAGAGCAAAGCTGTACATCAAATGCTTGGTGTCTTAAATTTAGCTTGTAAAGGGAGATCTTGTTTTCATACAATTCTAGAGTCTGGAATACTATGTACTTTCAGACGGTTCTAAACAAGTACATTTTACTTACTCTATGTTACAGCTCAAGATACCATTAGTGGCTGGCTGGTATAGCAGTAAACGTAATAAAACATTGCTCTACAGGGCAAGGCAAAATTTGGATACCTCCTCTTAACTTTTTAATAGGTCACATGAAGAAAAATAAATTCAGCCATGCATATTTTGATTAGTAATATTTATGCTATTTTACTTGGAACACCAAACAAAAGTAATTTGAGGGTAGTTCAACAAAGCTCATGTTTAAAATATAAAGCCCTTTTGGTAGGCTACTTAAATTCAAAAGTATATTCAATAGACAAATAGCAAAAATTACAGATCGCTATCCAATCAAATTGTAAATAGTAATTTCAACATTTATAAAACCATTACCCCCTTTGTACAGAGAAGAGTGAAAACATTCTTTAAAAACTTACTTTCATATATATTTTTTTGAGAGTTCTGTTCACTTTTTAGGGCTTATTTTTCAATAAATATGTGAAATAATAAAAACCAAAGTACTCTGAAACTCGTTTTTTATTTTACTTAAACGTATTTCATTACTAAGGCCAGTTATAAAAGTATGTAAACAAATAAAATAAATAAATAGGTAATCATTAACTATTAATTTATTTTATTTGCTAACATACATTTATAAGTAATACTGTGATCATGGCCTTAGTGCCGAAATACGTATACAATCAAAAATGAGTTTCAGGGTACTTTGGTTTTTATTATTTCAGGTATTTATTACTTTGATATAATTTATTGTTTGAAGATTTTCTGTTTTTAATCCAGGGAAGGAGCTTTTTAACTTTTTTTAAATTGTAAACATACAATAAAGCGATTTGATTTTCATATGGATTGATTTGTAACTCTTCTATGTGCATTTATATTAAACCAAGTGCATCATTAAAGGACACAGTTCTAGTTTGCATAATGCTAAGCTATTTTGGGAGCAGTATAATTTTTTAGCATTGACCACTTAAAATGTGTCCAAAGGCTATGATGGATTTTGAAAGGTAGTTTTAAATGAGCCAAATCCATAAAAACTCAAGAATTTATAATTCAAAATCTTTGGTAAAGTTTGAAACAATTTAAAATTAACAGTAAAAACATGTCAAGGAATGGTAATATAAACACAACCATATTAAAATGCATCTTTGATATTCTGAAGCTGTCGAATCGCAAGATCAACTGGTAAATCAAAGTTGAACTGATTCAGTTTTTCCAGTGACGCAAAACTGTCTTCAAAACCTGAAATGAAAGTGAAAGTCAAACTGACTTAATCAAATTACTAAGCGCACACCAATGACGGTTCTAGGGTTAAATGAAAGACACAGTCAAGGATCTGGGGAGGGGAGTTGGGGGTGAGGTTCTCATAATATAGAAAAACACCTAGACTAACAAGAGTAAACTTAAAGAAAATATCATCCACTTAGGATGTTTGAAAAGTTTTTATGTGCAGTCAAAGTAAAAAAAAAAAATGTTTCCGTTTTCCGTTGGATGGATCAATATTTATTTGTGTAACTAGTGGGCAAAGTGGCACTTTGCTGCTCACGAGAGAAATTTTGGAAAATTTCGCGAGTGCAGCACAGGCAGCTTGCACTCGCGTTACACATTATATTTTTCCTACAGTTACTATAAAGCATATCAATAATTAGTATTTCAAACACGTTTTTAGGTTAGGTTAAATCCAAATATTGAACAAAATGGTAAACGCTGCACCAACTGATCGTAGTCGTAGTATCTTTAAGTGTTGCCAACCTATTTCCAAGCGTTAACGGATTACGTACATAATTAAAGCACACTGTTTTGTGTTGTTTAGTTTGAATACTGGTGTGCGACAAAGTAAAAAGTGTGCGCCAAAGTAGGTAAATTCAGCAATTAGCAGCTTTCTGTACTATAATCAGTGCAAGGAAGCCCACTTAGTCTCGTGACTGTAGGAAAAATATACAATAAAATGTAGAGGACCAATAAAAATACGGAAAGTAAATAAAGAAATGTCTTATAAAACTTAAAACATATATTTACGCTTATACTGTTACTCAAAAGACAGTAAATATACAAAAAATGTGGTAAGTGGTGATCAATTTCGATTGGACACTCCAATCATCATCAGACCCAATAGGCGAATGGGTCAGATCGGATTGGGGTGTCCAATCAAAATCGATCACCACTTACCACCTTTTTTTTTGTATATTTACCGTCTTGTGAGTAACAGTATAAGCGTATATATATATATATGTTTTAAGTGCTATAAGACGTTTCTTTATTTACTTTCCGTAAATTTAATAACACGTACGATGCTGATCAAGAAGTTATTTTATTAAAATAGTCAATAAGAAATGTTGACTAAATTTGTTAGTTGATTACACAAATGCATGCCTAAAAACACAAATATTTACTCCGGTGTGCAATCCTCCAATATATTACTAAGTGAAATTGAATACTAAGATAACAAAGAAAATAATGAGTTAATTGAGCCTTAGTTGTAGTGAGCTAACACAGTAAATATTGAAATAAAAGTGTCTATTTTTAGCACACAACGAGAAGAATTTGTTCGTATTGAATCATAGAATATATACTGTCCAAGCTAAGTTTATGTAAAAAAAAGGTGGTAAACCTTGTTTTAAAAAGAGCCATAGGTTAACTCTTTTAGGAGGGGTGACGGATATATCCGTATACTGCTTGTAGATGTAGTGGACTAGAAGCAGATATTTCTGCCAATTCTGTAGACGAACTAGTAACTAGTAAGATATAAAAAGTTAGGTTAACGGATGCTGGAAAAACAACTTATACCAAAGTTGTAGTCAGAAAGCTCAGGAGGGTACCAGGACATCAATTGAATCAATATTATGATTTTTTAAGAGTTAATGTAGGCTACACTAAAAAAATACAATGAATATGATACATTAGTCATACCTGTCATAGCAACGTAACTCCATGGTTGGTAATACAACTCAATCAGGGGCTGGCAACGGAAGATGAGACGGAGCCAGGTTACGAGCATCTTTGAACTAACAAACACAATTGAAAAAAATATTACCCAAGTGGTCAAGTTCTATTACCCTAATCAACTAGTTAGCTCATGTTGAACTTAACAAACTATATGTAAGAAGCTTCCAGACAGCTAATTAAATAAAAAAAACAATCTGTGTCCACCGTCTAGTACCACCCAAGTCAGGCCAAGTATCTGCGCAATATGCACAATCTGAAAATGAAAATGGAGTTTTTCTTTTTATTTAATGTGTAGAATCAAGTTGGAAATTGATTTTTCTTGTGGTACACGTAGAAATACTACAAGATATAAAAAGGCCTGTGGTAGTTCAATTAACAAGGAGGCAATTTAAAAAAAAATTTATCTAGGCTAAATACTGTATTTATGATGGGTTGGCCTGTACTATTGGATGCTGTATAAATAATTTCTGAAATTATTGAACTAATTAAACTTAATTTTAAATTTTGATATGCGCATAGGCCTACTACATGCAAGAAACAACAGTAGCATGTCAGAATGTTTGTTTGCACATTTCTTGTCAAATTCAAAGATAGCACCTGGTGAACCAACTGTAGCACTCCAGTGTTTCGTATGAGCGGAGCGGACTCAGGGTCCTGACATGTCAACCAAACTAATTGTGCATCAGTATCGTGTTTCATATACTTTGTTAGTTAAACATAAGTCTTTGAGATTGTCAAATGTTTAGTGGCAAATTAAAGTACAGAAACTCCTTTAGACAAATGTTTTGTAGTTTACCTAACAAACAAAATAGCAAATAGAATACATATTATCAGCTAAGAAGATTTTTTACTTATTTTTTTAAGGGGTTGGCTGCCTGTTTTAACCTTGAATTTGTCCGTCCATATAGGATAAGGACCTCTGCTTGGAACGTATCCAGTAAAGCAAGGAGTGAGCCGGTACAGTACAAGAGTGAGGTGCACTGATAAACAGTAATGACAGGTACCAGGATCGCAACCCACAACATCACTGCCTTGGACCCGTCGTCTGAGGCTCTTCCGACTCACCAAAGGAAAGTATTTAACATCAAACTCGCATTTTAAAGTAAAATATGCAACCAATAATGTTCTTAGATTTACACCCAGTAAAAAAAATTTTGAGTTCTACATCGAACTATATGATATTTGCCTGTTTTAGTTACATAACTATAAAACAGCATGAAACAATTGATTATGATCTCTGACGGCTAGTGTAAGTATATGATGAGTATTACTAAATGATAAGCATTTGGGTTGGTGCATTGGTGTTGCTAGAATTATTTGTACATTGATAACACACAACAACTTTTAATTTTGCAGTGGTATATTGAGATGAAATCAGCAACTTCTAATGTGTTATCCTATTAAAGCTTTAATTTTCCATCAGGAACTTGAAATCATTCAACTGATCTTGGGTTAAACTATTAATATAATATTGTACTAATATCCATTTCTAAGAAAGTAGTTAGTTTCTAAGAAAGAAGTTTCTAAGAATATTGTATTCAAATTTGTGTTGGGGTAATTAACCAAGCACAGTTAAAAATATTTAATGAAATTGGTGATGTGCCAATACCAAAATTTATCGTTTCCCGATACCGATACCTAAAAAAACAATTCTCAATACCAATACCATTTTTTAAGAGTTTTACCAAGTTTTCTGAATGGATTGGTTATACTACAACAACCATGCATTTTATTAAGTATTTTTGAGGTACGCTATAAGGGTGTTTTTCAAGAAAATAATGTATGCAGCAATGAAACATTCTAACTAGCCAATTTCCATGTGCAAACCCTTTATATCACATCAAATAACTACCATATTTAAGGTATAGAGCTGTGCCAGCCTGATATTTGCAATCCAGCATTCCAGCCGAACTCAAAGTAATATCGTGATAATCGTCGTATTCTGAGATCACTGCAAAATCCTAAATATCTTTCTCAATTACTGAAACATCATCACTGTTTTTCACAGTCACGGAAAGATCATGAACATCACTCACGGTCGTGTAGACGTCATCATCGTCTCCCATGATCGTGGCAAAATCGTGAAAACCTCCCACGAACAACATCAGACAACATCATGAATGTCTTCGTCGTCGTCTATGATCGCGGCAAAATCATGAAAATCTCTTGCAGCCATGTAGACCTCATCATCGTCTACCTGCGGTTACGGAAACGTCATCGTTGTCTTGCGCGATCGAGGCAATATCGTAATTTTCCGGCATTATCGGTACCGACATTTCACTATCGGTTCCGACATTTCACTATCGGTTCTCGGTTCCAGTTCTTTTGCCAAGAACCGGCAGAACCGACATTTGACGTGAAGTATCGACCCCATCACTATTTCTGACCATAAACAAGTACAGGGTGAGGCTATGAAAGGTCCACAATTTATAAATAGTACACATTCAATACTATTTACCCTATACATATAGATAACATATCAAAACACAGCTTATCTTATGCCATTTTAACTTGACGGAGTTATTTTACCATTTCTTGAAATCAATATCCCTCAAGTGACGTCCTTGTCTGACCCATTTAACATTCCTTTTTAGTAGCTTAAAAACTCCATGTAATACTCGTTCTAGCATTTCTTAAGGAATGTCTTTAATTTCCCGGACAATTTCTTAGCTAGTTAAAACAAATATTTATGGCGACTTTGAAAACCCTTGAACTTCAAGTAGCTTATAGGGAGACCCCCCAATGAAAGAAAAGAGCCAACAAAAAGCTTCCTGGCAACCTCTTTGGACTTCAAGTTACGTAATTCAGACTTATTTGACATTTGCTTGTGTAAAAAGAGTTTTGCGGCTTCCATCAATTATTTTTAAAGTTTAAGCTGTTGCCCTAAATAATTTTACCCAGTTCCCTATCGTTTTCCATGTCGACCAATGATGGAATGTGGTCGAAACAATATCTTGGTATTTACAAAAGAATTACTGTTTTTTTTTATAGGTTTCCACAGCACAGTCACAGTGTTAATAACCCCATAGCACAATGTATACTAATATGGCATAGTTTAATTGATGTTGTAAGCACAGCTGTTCATTCATTGTTGCATTACTTATCATGTGACAGCGAAAGAAAATTGGGTGCTTTCATTGTCCCACCCTGTATAAGAAAAGATACCTACTTTAGTCCAGCACACACCAATGCTTTGAAATGAGAGTCATAGCTTCGTTTGTACGGTGTGTGAGTACCTATGATGTTTCCAATCACACCGAGCAGGCTCTGAAAAACCATATCATTAACAATAATGATAAACATCACAACGCAAATAATTTACGAAGAAATTTAACTACTACTTAACTACTTTAACTATTTAACTATTACTTTAGTGATGTGATGAGTCTACTATTGACTCCTTAGGTATCAGATAAAAAGTGTATTACGGTAAGTCGACTCGATGCTTATCCTATCTTACTTGAGTACTCGACTCAGTCATTACTTTATTAACCCTAGGGGATTCTTTGCACTCCTCTTGTGAGTTGAGTGTATGTGTTAAAAACTTGTGCATGGTTCTCGAAATTGCCACCATGAGTCAACCACACTAAATGCAGAGTGCTTAAGGACTTGAGTCAGAAAAGTTCTCTAAGGATGCCACTACAAATCAATACCGCTGGGATTGACCGCAGAAGAATAGAGGAATCAAGTACTCAAGACTTGAGTTAAAGCAGTATCGAGTACATTTTACTCAAGTAGACTAAATACTTGACTATTATCATCTCATCATATCACTAGTTGTACTTTGACCTGTTTCAACTTAGGAGCTAGTAAGGAAGAGAAAGAGTTATTGGGAAGCCTCCTCAGTGGCTATCAACTAGTTCCTTTTCCCCTTCCATAAATAAAAGATTTCCAAACAAATCACTGGCTAACTAATTCACCTAAAGTAATTCTTTCTGTCACTACCTGTAGAGTGAAATAATTTTAAAATAAAAGTTTTTTTTAACAATAACTATTTCTATTGTTAGGGAGTGCCTACAAATGCTACAACTCACGAAAGTGGAGGCAAATAGACCAACAGCATACTTATAGTACACTACTTATTATAGCAAACTAAATCAAATATAGTTGTTTTTTTCATTATTTCATTATTTTTTCATTAACTTTATAAAATTGGGTATAAGGCCTAAAAAGAGATTCTGCTGGGCACAAAACCACTTGGCCTGGTCTAACTGGGCTGATGCAGAAACTTGTTTGTTTTATGTGTTTTTATTTCATTTAAACTTACCAAAAATTGAAAAATTGTATCAAGAATTCTTGTGCCTACCCTCATATAGACTGGATTTTAGCTTCAGTGGTTATGAATTTAGGTCTAACCAAGAAGATTACTTGTAGCTACCTCTCTATAATTATTGTCATTTACTACGAAGGATTTCAGGAGGCAAACTCAAACATCAATTAATTGGTTTCGGTTAAGCACTTAACAAGAAATGTTACCTGTTTGTAGCTCATAGCCGAGCCACCAACGATGTCAAGATTGAAGCTTTGAGATAGTTTACGAGCTGGAGTGGAATTGAACTGTTCTCCATTCTTCATGTCGTAGAACTTGAGTATAAGCTCCCAAGCGTGCATAGGGTCTTTAGCAGAAGTGTGGCGTGGGGGAAAACAAGCGATGAACGGAACAAGACTGTTGCTCTGCCCAACCTGTAAATAGATTATTCTTTGTCTATCACTGATGGTGATGTTTCCAGCCTAATGACTACAATAATCCACAAGCTGTTACTAGTTACTGTTACTGTTATTAGTTAAACTCTTGTTTGGAAAGTAAAGTTTCATAGTTACACATTCATAAAATTGTGCAAAAGTGAGTCCATGTTACTTTTAAACGTTAGTTAAACCTATCGGATTTCCGTGCTGTATTTTGATACACTTTTCAACAAGGTTTAGTTGTTTCACAAAAAACCGTCTTGTTTATTAAAGCAGCTTAATCAAAGCTTCAAGTTAATAAGACCGAATAAATCAGGAGATAAACAAATCGGTAGAGCAAAGTAACAAAATTGCAGCTCTTTAATTACCTTAAGACCTCCACACAGTTTTATTGTGATCTGCTTTTAGTTTTTTTTTTTTTTTCAGGAAACGATACAAAAATTAGTTGGTAGAGATTTCTATTGAGTCTGCTATTTTCTTTATCATTTTAATATTAAAAGCTACATGTATTGAATGAACACAAAATCATATGGTTGGATGATAAAAGTTTATAAAAATTTGCCTTTAAGTGCCTGTCCATGCATCGATATAAGGTTTCTTTACCAAGCAACTGTTACTGAAACTTAAATGAAACAAGATACTTTCTTTAACACAACGTAAATTAGAGTTGTCACCATATGTTTCCTCACACATGGGCCTTATAATTAATTATTTATGCCTTGCAATAATCCATTTTTTTGGCCAACAGATGATGTTTACTGTCAGACCTTGTCCCATGCCGTGAAGTGGCATCCTCAGTGGCTAGAGAGGTACTTCAGAGCAAGAGTGAAACATCTGGCAAATAACTTTACACCACAGTTGGCTTGAAAAAATCAATGGGTTCTAAAAATGGCCACGAGAGCCTACATAAGGAAAATTTATTAGCTACAGTTTAAACAACAAAAAGAGTGTCCACAGCACCTGTCATACAAAAATTGGGTGTTTTATGGGATTTTTGAAAATATAACGAGCAATTATCAGGGATTATTAATAGGTACAATATTAGTAATTTATGCAACATTGCTACTGCAGCAAATGTTGTCAAATATAGACCTTATTAAGTCACTGTAAAAAATTGTAAAATATTTATGTACACACTGTTGTCAGCTGGCAAAATACATTCGTTTGTTCTACAACAGTACGACTCCCATTTATCCCAATCTCACTTAAACAAATAAACTTCACACAGATAAGCATAAGCATATCTTGTTGTTCAGACAGTTAGTTACTTTTTTGTATGAATCTTAAACTTTTAAAATAAAGTGTTCAAACCTACAGCCATGAGTCCATGTTGCATGAGGTTCTGGATACTGACAGCCAGTTTCTTGCGCACAGCTGTAGCCAGTTTTCCGTTACATTGTATTGTAGTGACGCCCTCTGAGTCTGACATGTAGTCACTGTCCACTGGGGCCTCTGGTTCTGCTGCCAATTCCATCACATCAGCCACAGCCACCTCCAACTGTGCTCTCAGGTCCCTGCAAAAATTACAATCTTCATCACAAGAAACGGTGACTACCCCATGTTTGATGAAGAGTTGAGTCTATCAGTCTTGGACTTTCTCCAAAGTGTTTTAATGGGTTGGAAACACTCAGACAAATTGCAGGTTTTTTTAGATACGTGGTACAAAATACTAGACAGAGGTTTTGTGTGATCACTGTGGATTCTTGAGACAGTGCCTAAGACAATAAGAATAAGAATAAGAATCATTTATTCCATTGATCTTTTTACAAAGAAATAGGACACGTCATATACATTACAAAATAATCATCCAAATACAATCAAGTTTCTGATACATCCAAATAATATAAAAAGTACAATTAATTAGGTATAATAGCTTATTTTTTTACAATGGATTAGGATTCAGTTTTTAACTAACCGTTACCGACAAAATGTAGTAGTTTGAGCCTTTAAAACAAATCTGTCATTGAAAAGAAGTAAACTCATATTTCTGCCATTGCTTACCCATAATGGTTAGGTCAGGTTAGATTAGGTTACTAACCTAAACTACTAAACTTACTAAACTCATATTTCTGCCATTGCTTACCCATAATGGTTGAACTTCATATGTTTCTTGAGAGAATTTTTGCTGAAATGATCTGCACTATCTCCAAACTGATGACGCACAAATATCTGGATCAAAGCAGCAGCTCTTTTCATGACGTTCAGAGTTTTGGTATGCATCTGAAACAATAAAAATCTTCCTGAATAAACATGGAGTAAAACAAAAACAGTTAGATAGTGGAAGGACTTGGTTATACTCCTAGATCTATTGTAATTTGAAATATAAATAATTAGTATCTATACAGTTTAAAGTTCAAGGCAGGATTATTATTCCTAAACTAACAAACTTATAAGAGTAATCTGGTACGTTTAGGTCATAAAAGTAACTTAATACAAGGGTTTATTAAGCTTCTAATAGATCCAGTCTTTCTTCAGATTTTCAACCCCCATTCAATATCTCACTCCCATATTGGTCAATTATGTTTAATTCAAGCAAGTCATAAGTTTGTAAAATAAAGGTCTTTTTTGGAAGAATTTAATACTGCAATTCAAATCATAAAAAGTAGTTTAAACTATGTATTAGGAACACCTACTAAAAACTTGCCATTTTATTTAGATCTAGTTTCGATAACATAAAAAAGTTATCCTTTTTTAGCGAATTTCCCTATAGGGAAGTAGCTATTTTATAATTAACATCATAATACTTTCTTTTAGGTAAACAATAAAACTTGAAATCCATGGTGATGGTTTTTGGCGTCAACCGCGTCATCAGTTGTATAACACTACCAGACGTTTCGCCCTTACTATGAAGTGGCATCCTCAATGTCTAGGCTGAGACTAAGTCAGGGAAGTTCGTCCAGGTATAGCTGGAGTGAGCTCATCGGCACGTGGAATGCAGGAATGCATACTCGCCTTGCGCTGGCTGTTTCTAGTAGTTTCTAGTAAACAAGCTTACGTAATACTTATCTCCTGTAGCAGCCAACTTATTCATGAAAAATTTCGAGAGAAATGCATTAGAGTCTGCGATCATAAAACCCATGATTTGGCTTCAATACGTGGATGACATCTGGCCAGTGTGGCCTCACGGGAGAGATGGTCCCAATAATATTAACACCAACATAAAGTTCACGATGGAAGAATAATGAGACGGGAAACTCCCATTCTTGGATGTGTTAACTATAAGAAAGGAAAACGGAACAATTGGCTATGCTGTCTACAGAAAACCAACTTATATTTATGTGCTATATTACCGATCGCGGTACGGAGGCAGATGATTGTAGGCCTACTCTAATTGTTAAATGTTTTCGTGCGTAATGTGTGTGTTAGGAATGGACGGGTCCCGAAATTTTGGGAAATTTTCGGGAAAAAAAATTCCCGATTTTCGGGACAGGATTACATTTTATTCAGAAAATTTTTGGGACGGGATTTGGTCCGATCGTTGGCAATTTTGCCGCTTCGCGAGTGACGATGGCGCCGCTACCGTGAGAGATGTTCACGATAGTTCCGCGAACGCAGGAAGCGAAGTAATTTTGACGATCGCGCCTTGACCGCGGAATCATATCGACAATCGCGCCGTGACCGCGGAGTCATACCGACGATCACGCCGTGACCGTGGAGTCATACCAACAATCGCGCTGTGACCGTGGAGTCATACCGACGATTGCGCCGTGACCGCGGAGTCATACCGACGATCACGCTGTGTCCACGGAGTCATACTGACGATCACCCCGTGACCGCGGAGTCATACTGACGATGATGCCGTGACCGTGAGTTATACCGACGATGATGCCGTGACCACGAGTCATACCGACGATCATGCCGTGACTGCGAGTCATACCGACGATCACCCCGTGACCGCGAGTCATTTTGACGATAGCAACGTGACCGCGAGTCATTTCGACCGTGAGTCACAAGTTTCTATAGGTAGGTACCTGTAAATTGTTACCCATTTTTTTGTTTTTATAGATCAGTGCCACAAACGGTAAAAATTAATTTTCTTTTTTGGTAACTGCAACACTCAAGACTTTCTTTTTATCCACAGGAAAAAATCCCGTTCCGTCCCGTCCCAAAAATTGGGAAGGAAATAAAAATCCCGTCTCGTCCCGTCCCGAACTAAAAATTCAATCCCGTCCATCCCTAGTGTGTGTATATATTTAAATGTTTCTTGACGACCACATCATGGATGAAGACAAAGCATTCTTGCTAGGATATCACCTGACGATGCCTGAATAGGCGAAACATGTTGTGCGTTTTACTTACTACGATTGAACTGTTGACGTAAAGGTATGTACCTCATATTAGTCTAATAGTCAAAGGTAAAAACAAAAATGAATTGGCACTTAATATCTCTTCCTCTGTTCAAAACATCGGTTTCTGGTTGAGAAAGAATGGCCTTTTTCTGTGTTGGGTCATGTGTTTTATGTGTATTACCTAGGCTAATCTGGACTCTGTCTACCAGGTAAGCTAGCTGATCCCTTTCCCTATCCGTGTACATAATAATCCTAATCAGCCAATTGGCCTTTCCTTAACTCTTAACTTATATTTGTATTGACATATTGCATATTCATTTCTGATCTTCATCCTCTGTATTGTGAATTTTTGTAGTAAATAAATTGAATTTAATTAGATAAACCATCAACTCATCGTAAAGAGAAATGAAATATACACAGCTTTCATGTAAGCTTCAAGGACAAAAACTGAAAATTCATAAGCTTCTTCAACGTTTCATGAAACAATAAATTTTTATGACAGTAAAGTCCCCCCAGTTTTCATGTCCTGACCAGCTTACGAACACATGAATACACAGATTCTACAAAACAATTACAAGTTTTACCTCAACATTTTGTTTGCTACTGAAGCCATGTTTTTGAGTAGAGAACATCTTCGCATGAGATCGCTTGTGCAAAGGACACTGACAAGTACAGACAGTAGAGTTTCCAGCCGAACCTCCTATAACATAACCATAGTCAGAATTAACATAAATTAGGGTAAATATCTACTTTAATTGAATAAATACTAGGTAAACCACCCTTTATATAAATTGTGAAGGAAATAGTAAATTTTTAAAAGTTTCTCAGCAACTTCAAGATAGACAAAAATAAATCCATACTGATTTGATCCACACTGAACAGCTCGAATAAAAGAATCAATTGATCAAAATAAAACATAAGTTGATGATCCTTAAATCAACATTCTATACTTTGTTTAAGTTATATATCTTTAGTTATGCTCAAAATAAATTTTGAGTATGGACTCATGTATATGATAAGTTTACAAGGTAATGCCTTTAAGCCAGGTTTACACGATACCATTGTCATCCCGTGATTGCGGGAATGTCTGAGGCCAGTTGTCCTGCTTGTTGTCCTCAGTTTACTCCCGGAGATAACTGAATTTCAGGGCAATTACGAGGGCAGTTAGCAAGGCAATTGGCCTGAAGTGTATACACAAAAAAAAAAAATTTAATGCCAGTCAGTTGTCTTCTGACCTACTGACATTCTGTAAACCTGGCTTTACAGTAAAACTTGCACCATTCATACTTCATATAACTTGATTGAATGTTTTTTTTATCATACACGGTGATTCAAAGTATACTCAACAACTTTGGTGGAATTTTTTTACTAACTCCTTTATTACACAGATGTTTTTGGCCTTATTGTGAATCAAAAGAATGAGTGGCATAATTCCTTCGTTTTGATGTACTCATTTCTCAGTAAAGGACCCCCTACTAAATCAAATCAACAGTTAGTAGAAGCAAATGAGTCAAAGTCATTGCTATTGCTGACTCTTCACAAGGGTATTTACTATTTGAGAGGTTTGCCCTAGGGAAATTCATTGGCACCAGCCATTTTTAAGCCAATTAATGCTGTTATTCTAACAGGTAAAGTCACCCTCTTAAAAAACCTGATCAACTGCCTATTGAACTGTAGTTAATAAATCATTTTTGTAACCTTAGGAAGAATATTTAGGCTTTGTAATTTCAGTCGCAAGAATGGGCCTTCAGTGAATTATGGCTTCATCAGTCCAAAATGCATTAGAACCTTAAAACACGGGAAAGATACAAGTGTACGTGGTATTGATTTTAAACGATTAAAGGTAGTTAGATTTCAAGATTAAATTAATAGTTTTTACAGTTTGTTAAAACAAGATGGCCTTTGAAGAAGGAGACCCAGGGAAGTAAATCTGTTCAAATGTCTTGACTGATAGAATCAATGCAAGGATCAAATGTGTTTTAGCTAACTTGTCTCATATCAAGTGAAAAGAATAATTCTCAGCTTTGTACAGTTAGGTTTTTAGAGAGAAAAATTTGCATAAACATATGGATGTAAGAACGGTGTGCTACCGAGCAACCTTTATCTTTTGGCATATATTTTAAACAAGAGCGTTACATGTCAAAAAGCCAAAAAACTTCAACAAGGCTTTGATTCAAAAGCAAGTTTTGAGCATTTTTAGGTCAAATATCAGAAAAAATACAACTTGCTTAATGCAGATGTTCTGTCTTGTTAAACAGCGTATTAACTTTTGCAGCTGGAAAATGACAAGTTTTCTAGTTGAAACCTGATAAGTAAGTAAATAATTTCTTTAGTGTGATTAGTGACAAGTTTTCTATCACTTTCTTGAATGTAGGACTTTTAACAGACAAAGGCTTGAGCACTGTCAAGGATTGATATTCTAAATGTCACATGGCAAGATTAGTGTTCAAAATCTAAAGTTAGTTCTATTTAGGTAAGGCGAGATTGAGTGGTTGGTGGACAAATGAGTAGGCTAGTTGTATGGTAATACATTAGAACTAGAAGATAAGGATATCCAGATGTTACAGTACCAACAGATTATTATTGTCATGCGATGGTTAGGAATTGGAGTGGCAATTACACACAGGAAATGCTAGTCCTTACAATAGTTCCATTACAGGTTTGGGAATAGTTACTGATATGATACTCACCACTGTTCTTCAAGGTACCATACTGTGGTACACTCATATACTTATCATCATAGAGCTATGATGTTATTTGAATATTTCAATTCGGGCATCATAAATTACCTCCTATAAACACTTTATTTTCTAGTACATTTTTTGTGTTTCATTGCATCTAGTGTAAATTTGTAAGCGATTTTAAATGTGAATACTGTACAGTAAAGTCCCAATAACCTGGCAGTATGGGCAAACCCTTAGAGAATGTTTACACAAGTTCCACAGAACCAAACACCACAGTTACTTACTTACAACTCTGATGCAGTACAACAGAACCTGCTAGTTTACATGGTTACACAGAACATTGTACTTGACCATTTGAACCTAGTACTACTTGCAAAAATAAAGAGAGTCTTGTATTTCCTACAAGAAGTTAAATTTGTGGATTTAATACTGGTGCTGTTATTTCAATGTATATATTATAAATAAAATGTGCAAAATTATATCTTTATTTTAATTTTTTTTCCAATAACCGGGGTTTTCGGAGTTTGGCTCCCTTACACACCTAACGCCGAGCAGTGGGACTGTACTGTGGTACTAAATTTGTAGGTAAATGTACAGTAATGTTACTATACAACATTTAGAGAGAAAATTTTAAAAAATGCTGAAAGTACAGATTAACAAGAGTGAAGTACCTTGAAGGAATTCAATGAAACGCTCCAGATCAGATATTTGTGTTTTCAGCTGATTGACTAGTTGCTCTTTCATCTTCATGGGGTTAATAAGCTAAAACATGCGTTTAGTAAATTCACCTTGATTCTATGTAAACATAAACATGCAGTTGATAAATATGAGTACATGTTACTTCATAATTGTGTGATAAGCATACAAGTCAGTTGTTGTAAAAACTAATAAAATGTAGAAAAAATGTGGCTAGGAGTGTGAGATCACATAGTATGTTGTAGCTCCAGTAGGATACATTTAAAGAATTTTACTGAAATTAAAAGGCAAGTTTTATACAACAAATTAATTAAAGATCTGGACTACCATTAATGGGGTGAGCATTTTTCTTAACTGATAAGGATCAAAATAAAAATTATAATAATAAATATGAAACAAAAGGTTAATTTAAATCTAAAAGAGTGAAAACGTGGAAATTATCTTAAATCTTTGTATATGACATGAACAATACATGTGATTTGATAACAGCATTATGATGTTAAATAAATGTTTGCACTACTGAATCTCAAAGTATGATGATTATTTTAGACCTCCTGACCTTCAATCCACAGAACAAATGTTGAGTAAAAACTATATTTCCCATTTAATTTGAACTCACAAAAAAAATGCATAAAGATTGTTAAAACAACAGAGAGCTTCGTATTTCCTGTGATTGGAATTATTTGTAACTATTTAATTCTACGTTGGATTTTTAAGGTTGTTTCCCTATTTGTTTTTAGTCACAAAATTAAGCAATTAATGTTGGCGATCTAGTACCAAAAAGAAGTATGTTAGATGCAAGCATTTTACAATAGAGTTATTCGTGTGGGTCTTTTTTACCATGGGGAGTAGATATAGTAGAAGAAACACAATACAGTAAATGCTCGCTAATCTGGATTTAGAAATTCTTTTGGGACTTTAGCGGTAACACATTATTGAAAATCCCGCATTACTCAATGCCTTATAAAAACAGCCGTTAATGTGAGACGAGTGAAAATTCTGCTTTTTTGAAGAGTATCAATAGGAACTTTTTGGCTGACAGGCAATTATTCCGTGGTTTATTGAGCTTTATCTTATTTTAGTAGTGAAATAAAATGCTAAAAAGAAACAAAAATAATTCAAATATAAGGCTCCTGAATTCTATAGAGTATAATAATCCAAATTCAATGAATGTCTGCCTTCTGCTAACAGCTCTACCAATAGCTCCCGACTCTTTGGAAATCACTAATATGTCATTCAAAAAATTGTTGACCTTAGGACTGATGACTGATTGAAAGTGTATATCAGATGCCGGATAAGCGAGCTTTTACTGAATTGATAAAGAAGACCACTACATAGCATGCACCCAAATTACAAAAGAGTTAGGTCCCTACTATTAAAACTATGTAACGTTGCAGCTTTGTTTCCAAATTTAGTCGCAGGAAATTTAAATTATGTCCCATCTCTGTTTCAGGGCTTCAAACTAAATTTGAAGACAATGAAATCAAGTTGCTCAAGCCTTCAGAGTTACAATGGATAGCCTACAGATTACCTGGAAATGGATCAAACGCTAGAACACAATTTCTGGTACTACCGACCACACCTAACATTTATAACCTAATTGCGATTAGGCTAGAAAGATTTGTTTTTTAAACTAATTAAAATCCTATTTGTAAGTCGATTTATCGGTGTGGTTGATATAGTACCAAAGCACCCAATTTCTTTTGGTTTCAACTAGGGATGGACGAGATTGGATTTTTAGTTCGAGACGAGATTTTTTATTTCTCATAAAATTTCGAGACGAGATCGAGACGGGATTTCCCTTCTCATACACAACGGGAAATGCACGTTCAAAATTTTTACCTGATTTTGTAACATTGTTAGATGACTGTTTAAATACAAAAATAATGATAATAGGCAAAAAACCAAAATTTATCTAAATTAAATCATTCACCATGTTTGTTTATTTTTAATATATTAAATATTTACAATCTTTTATTAAAAAACATCAGCTTAACATTTTTTTATTAATCACGCCTAACTTATTAAAAATGCCTACGATTAGGAAACATAGTGATATCAGTTAGGATGGAGTTCAACTTATCCTAAAATAAAATAAATCATAAAATAAAAGCAATATTAATTTTTATAAAATAGTTACTTGTTTTGACTTTTTATAGTAATAAAACATTCCTCACACTGCTTACACTTAACAAAACTTCTCAAATGTTATTAAAGTAATATTATTAAAATAATTAAAGTAATATTTACATTTAAATAATTAATTAAATAAGAACGCCTTCGCAATGGAAACGCAACTACAACACGCTCCTGTATTGCGGGTATTGCATTGACTTTCTGCAGGCGTTTTTTAATTTTTTTTTTTTATTCTCGTCTCGATAAAAATCTCGGCCAAAAAGAAATCTCGTCTCGTGTAACAAGACTTAAAATTTCCCGAAATTTCGAGACTTGACCATCCCTAGTTTCAACTTAACCCTTTGCGATCGGTATGAATATTTGCCGCTATTCCTCAGGGGTCGCGTGGCCAGCTCTACTACTCTAGCGTGCGGAAGTCGGATTTTTCCCCACAGCAGTTGTCCTTGCAATCGGACGGCTAGCGGTGCTGGTCAACATGAAATACAACTAACGCTAAGTTGTCCAGCAGGACTGGACGACAACAATGTTTTTGTTTGTAATATTCCAAACTGACTGGCATGATGCCTGTAGAGTGCTGCAACCTAGTGAGGAATGGTTTAACTAAACGATCAGCTTGCAACATTATATATTGTAAAAGTTGTGGTGGAAACGACTAAAATAAGCACCAGCTGACCAGCTGTTGTTCTGTCACAAGTGCTGTCATAATCATCTTTGTTTTGTTTCAGTTTTACGTGATTTTAATTGAGTTTTGGTGATTTTCTTAAAATATTTGTGTTTATTTGTAGTTTTAATTAAATTTTAGAGTACATTTGAGGTGATTATAAGAACACTTGTATGTTTACGCATAGGACTACACTTTTATTATTAATTAGGCCTGCAATAAAACTGTTTTATGTCGTATAAACTTTCAGTAGTAAGACTCAGGTTATGTTTGTTTTTATTCCCGTATATTTAACTAAGTAATAATGGACAGATCGTTAAAAGATCAGACAAATCGGGAGTCTTATTATTTGCTGATGAAGAAGATGTTGACAATCCCGATATTTATTATAGATCAGACCACGAAAGCGATGATAAGTGTTTTTGTAAAACTTGTTTAAACAAACCAGGACTTCATATGGGCGAATGTTTTTAAAAAAAATACCAAAGAAGAAAAAAAAACAAAGAAGATTAAAAGAGAACTTTCAACTTGTTGTTTGTATGAGTAACAAATATACGCAAATTTTACACGTTTAGTAAATACAAGTTCACTTTTAATTTTCAAACAAATGTATGTTTGTATTCAATATCTAATTTGTTTTTTTAATTAAATAAAACTATTGTCAGTTTAAAATTACAACTGTTTTATTAAATCTTAAATCCCCTGGGATTTGCAGGCTTTCAGTGAAAACAATTCCGAGCTGCCGGGAGCGAGCCGCCATAATAAATGCTGAGGAGGCGAAGCCCTTAGATTTGGCCAGTACAGCTGGCCGTCCGACCGTCATAACCAAGTTAGTACGGATAAAATTCCGACTCGCTGCCGACTGCGTTGAGGCCACTCTTGCCGGCCTTCCAATCGCAAAGGGTTAATGATACTTATGTTTATATAAGCAGGGTTGGATAAGTTTTGAACCCCTGCGAGTTGAGGAAATATAAAATGTAATTTGAGTCTGTTTTTTTAGAATTTGGACTGACATAGTTTCAGGCCTTGAAACTAATATTTGATAATATGAGCGAGACAACACAACAAAATGTGAGAAACAAAGTTGCGACAGCCAACTTATTGGTTTGTTGCCCAAAAGAGAAAAATAAATCATATAAATCACTTACCTGTCCAATGGCATTGTCCACATGGTTCTTCAAATCATCCATTGTCAGTTGGTCCATGTGGTCAATATTCAAATTTAACTTGCCTTTGAGTTGATCTAAAGAGAAAAAAAACTATTTGTCTTAAAGTATAAAGCAAATAATTAACTGCCATTTAAAATATTTTATCAGGAACAATTGGTTTCAAATGGCTTCTTTCCATCCCATTTTTATTATTTTATTGGTTATCGTGGATACTTTGTTAATTTCATTAGGTAATTAATCCATGGGGTGGTAATAATCTGTCGAAATATTAAACAAAGAGGGTTATATTAAAGTTATCGAACAATTTAAGGATAAGAAGTCGGTGAAAAAGTACTTTAAAGAAATGGAAATGTTTACAGTGTATGGTTTGTATATTTTTTAAACCATTCAGCATGTTTATAAAGATAAAAACACTGAAGTATCCCATAAATACAATACAAGGTGGAAAAATCTTACTGTAAAAAGTCATCATCAGCTGAAACTTTCAAAAATGAAGCCTTCGTATATCATGAATTTATTCATAAGAATTTTGCCTGCCTTACTAAAAAAAGATCAAAACAAAAACAATTTTTTGAAGAAACTAAAATCATTCTTCATAAATCTGGCTCCCTATAGTATAGATGAGCTTCTAAATCAAAAATGAATTAGCTATCCATTCTAAAATAATTGTCAAATTGTATGGTTAAGTCTTTTAGATTAAATTATATAACCAATTTTGTATGCTTTGACACTATTCATGATGTATATAAAATGTATAAAGTGAATAAAGATAATTTGATTTGATTTTACCATATAGTTCAAAAGGACATTACTAAGTATCACATTTAATTATATTAAAGTTCCTAATTTGTGTAGGTATATACCAATAAATGGAGTTTTCTTGGTTTTGTTAAGTGGCTTATAATTCATTTGCATATAAGTATAATACTTAAACTTGGGTAGGTCAGAGAATATTAGTAATTTAATAATTGTGATTAATCTGATATTTCAATACAAGAAAGAAATAACCAGAGAGTAAACTTTTTGACGCTTTGGTTAGCTCCTCTTGTGGAAAAGACATGTTTAGTAAAGATAGTGTCCTTAAAGATTGATATTTAAAAACAATGTTTCATTATTTGACATAGGTACAGATATGACTAAATATACAATATTTTTTGTATTTAATAAATAAATAACTTCCACAATAAGCCATAAGCCACATGCAATGGTTTGTCCTTGTAGGCCATGTTAGTTGAAATACCATAACACATTAATAAGCTCACAAAGCAATTTCTTTGCAATCTCACAACTTCAATTCAAGAGGAAGTGTGTTTTTTTTTCTAGGTCCTGAAAATGTTGATAGTAATTGTTCAGTGCTTTAGTAAGTAAAATTGGGATCAGTTCCGAGTACAGGTTCATCTACAGTAATACAGAGGAGTTTCATTAAAACAAAATAGAAATTCTTTGTTTGGAATTCATTGTTGGTGATTGTGAGTTAATGTTGTTCAAAGGTTTATTGCGGACATTTTCCATCACGATGGTAAAAAACAATACACAACGTTTGGGGATCTGGAATCTGATCCCGTCCTCAGGTGAAAAAAACTTAACTAACACATTACAACTAACAATACACAAACGCCCAACCTAAGTTGGAATAAATTACAGAGGGTAGCAGTAAAAAAATATGCACCGTGTAGCAGATAATAACCAATCACAAAACACTATAGTCTACAAAGGTGTAGTGTGAACAGCTCATACAATGGAACACTAATAGCACCGTTCGCAATGACTCCACCAATGAGACCTCAATGTCCAATGAGACCTCTGTAGTGTATTCCAACTTAGGTTGGGTGTTTGTGTATTGTTAGTTGTAATGTGTTAGTTAAGTTTTTTTCACCTGAGAACGGGATCAGATTCCAGATCCAGAAACGTTGTGTATTGTTTTTTACCATTGTGATGGAAAATGTCCACAATAAACCTTAGAACAACAAAATAGAAATAGTATTACATCCTAAATTATTAGATTTTGTATATACAGGGTGTCCAGAAAAAACGTTTCAGGACTTTGGGAAATGAATCCTCATACTAAAAGGAAGAAAAATGTTTATGTGAAGGTATGTCCGAAAATGCATATTTACCCAGTTATCTGCCATTTTGTTTTTTATACAAACATATTTTTATCTGTGAAGTTTTTCGTTCGATGATTATGAAATTTGGTAACCATATTAACATACACAAGACCTATTATAGAAAAAATAATTAAGTTGTTCCGATTGTAAATTTCAAAATGGCGGCCGTTTGAATTTTTATAACTTAAATAACTCAAAAACGGCTGATTCTATAAAAAACTTTCAAGAATACTTTTTTTAGAATTCTAAATTCCCTGTCAAATGATACCAAGATCAAAAAGATAGGACAAAAGATAACTGAAATATAAAATTTTTTGTTTAAAAATAAGGCAAAGTTAGTCTGGGAACTCTTAATTTTGCCTGGTCTTATCGTTTGGTATCGTTTGATAGGGAATTAAAAATTCTAAAAAAACAGTGTTCTTGACATTATTTCATAGAATTGGCCATTTTTTTGTTATTTAAGTTATACAAATTCAAATGGCCACCATTTTGAAATTTACAATCGGAACAACTTTATTATTTTTTCTGCAATAGGTCTTGTGTATGTTAACATGGTTACCAAATTTCATAATCATCGAATGAAAAACTTCACAGAGAAAAATACTTTTGTATAGAAAACAAAATGACGGAAAACTGGGTAAATATGCTTTTTCGGACATACCTTCACATAAACTTTTTTCTTTCTTTTAGTATGAGGATTCATTTCCCAATGTCCTGAAACATTTTTTATGGACACCCTGTATATGGGAGGGATTACAGTTAAACTTTGACAATCAATATTAACAACCATGATCAATGCAAAACAACTGGGCCCACTAATATATCCAGTTGTTGGTGATTACTCATGAAGGTGAAATGACTGCTACAGTTTTGAAACGATAATTTACTTTTAGTTTGATTTTCAATAGGTAATAACATAAATCCTTTTGGATACTGAACAACTGCAATTTACCAAAACAGTTAAGGTAAAAATTGTATATGTATTATAAGTTTTTATAGTATTAGCCTTTCTGTCCAAGAAACAAATTGCATGTTCAAATATAATACTTTTAACATGTTCTCCTTTGAATGGGTAAAAACTTGTTATTTATACATTTATGAACATAAAAATCATAATTTAATATTTACTAACCCTTATTCATGTATGTATGAACAATTTAAGGAAAATGATATTAATTACTTTATTTGACCATGGAGCCAAAACTACAAGTCCTTATGCTTGTAAATACACCTTACAGCCTGGGAACTCCCAGCTTACTTGAGTATTAACCAAATTCTCAATAAACATGCATTTATCAACAAGGCAAAGCCAATAACCAAGTTTGTTAAAATAATTGTTAAACAACATAAAATTCATAAGTAATTGTAACAGCAAAGCCCAGGTAAGACAACATCAATGTTAAACAATCACAGAGAACTTTGTGAGAGAATTATTGAAATATAAATATACAGTGTACACTGAAGACCTGTTGCAGTGTTTCAGGTCAGGTTTACGAAACATAACAAAGAAATCATCAGACTTTCAGTAGTTAAGTAAAAGTAAGCCTACCCGTTTGATGAGGTACAGTTTTACCAGACAATACAATTTATTTTAAATCACAAAAACACAGCATGTATTAAATAAAGGTATAGGTACAGTAAGTATTAAGCATACTATACAAGCATCAACAACAATGCTGTATTTAGCCTTACCTAAGATAAGTTTTTGACGTTCCAAGACTAAACTCTGGGGTAGGCCTGCTTCACCAGTTTCATAGGCGTAATTTTCAAGCTCCTCCAGCTGGGATTTCAATGTTTTAATCAACTCCTTTTGTTTTTCTCTCTGCAACTTAATTTTTTCCTCGTGATCTTCAATGTCCTTTAATAAAACAATAAAAATACCCATAACATACTAAATATTTTGTGTCATAACAATTAGTAATTCATAGTTCAAGAAAATATCTTTATCACAAATTATTGTTGTGATTTATTCTCGCATGAAATGAATTTCCTGATTATCAAAGGACAAAGAGTATCCCTGATTAATATCGATAGGACAAAGCAAATAAATTAAAATTTGTCTTCCAACATTTCTTGATATATGGTATAATTCAAGAAGGTAATTATAAAAGATGTTACATTGGTAATAGATTTCAATCAGTTACACTACATAATTACAATCTGGGAGTAACCCCAGCCTAATTTAATGTTTACTAAATTTTCAATAAATATATATTTATCATCCAACCATAGATCTCTATAACTACATCTGGATTGCAACCGTGTGCTGGGTTTTCGGTCCAGCCGCTCGGCTTTTCCTTAAGTTTGACCGTCGCTCTCTTACACATTACCTCTTATGGCCAGGGCCACGTTAAGGGTCAGTGGAGTACTGGGCAAACCCAAAAGCAGTGCCCCCTTTTTTCCTAGTGCGGGCGGGCGGTGGTTGGGGGGTACCCAGTGCCCCCCCCCTGAGCATATGCCCATCTGCCTGTTTATAAAAGTGGGCCTGTTGTAGCATTATTATGTTCACGCTGACAAAAGACATGATGTTGACAGTTACTTGATTTTAAATTAATTTACAAAGTTGTAATCTGTATGAAACTGACGAGAATTTTGTGTTTTATTTGAATATGATTAGGGTTTTTTTAACTATATTCGATTCCGTAATTATCTTGATACTGAGAGATAATTATCGTACTTACTATTTCAAATAATTTTTAACATTTTGTCAGTTAAAAGTATTTTTTCTCACTAAACATATCTTTTTTAACATCAGTGGCTGTATTTTTCTTCCATTGTTCGCTAGAATTATGATATCTTGCCATTCATGAAATTGTCGACAGGGTAAGGCCAACATTAATTTGACACCAAAAGGTGTTTTATTCAAGATTTAAATTTATTTTTTATTCAGCTTATTTGATGCCATCAGGGAGTTTGATGAGAACTTTGATGCTAATCTGTGAGAGCAAAAGCTCAAAAGCAAAACTACTCTGGAGTTGAATTTGGTAATTTTCTCTGCCTTTAGATTCAAAATTATGGATGTTTCCGCCCTGCAGTAGTGAGCATTCATATTCACAGTACATGACCACATCCAATGAAGTAGAGGCTGAACACTGTAAACAGTCTCAACTCCCCGAAAGCATTTCTTTACGAGTCTACCAGCTGCGATTAGCAAATTATCATCACTACTTTTTTATGCTGTTTGAATACTTGTTTCAACCTGAAGACAAGTAATCTCGTCACCACTAGCCTTTTCCAGTAGCAAGCGACGAGTATACCTGTCAAAGCGCGGTTTACAAACTATTGTTCCAGTGTCATCTTTAAACAACAAAAAAAGGCCATCATAGTCATTGCTGGCATCAGCTCAAGAAAATCATGTAGATTCAGTTTAAAAAAATTCAAACTTTTGACCCTTCCTGCTCTTTATATTTTAAACTTGGCACTTTTCATTAAAAACAACCTTTATTTATATTAAAACTGTAAAACAACTCAGACACAAACAACTTTTGGAAATTCCAAGCCACAGATTAGCTTTGTTTTACAATGGGCCCTATTATCAATGCATACAAGTCTACAACAAATTGTCCTTTTACTTCACAGACCAGTCTTTGAGCCTTAATAATTTTATAAAGAAACTTTCAGAAAAACTGATTGCACTTTGTCCTTATGACATGAATTCATTTTTATCCTGTCAACTGTAATCTTAATATTTGTATATATTTATTATGTGTAAACTATTTATAATGCATGATTTGTACTGACATGTCACATATTCATTGCTGATATTCAGCCTCTGTATTATGAATTTTTGTGATGGATAAATTGATTTGATTTGAGTGTGAGGTTATCCACTGCGGTGGGACGTTGTTTCCCTTGTTGCTTGTTGTGCCAGTGTTTTTATACTTTAATCTGGTATAATTCGTTATCAGATCCGACTATTTTATCGGTTGTAGGGATTACTTTTAAACTTATTGTAGTGTGGGGTTTACGCTTGGATCAAAGGACAAGCAATAGAATAACGATAATGAATGTACTGTAGCATTGTGGAAGGATCCTAACCTCAAAATTGTGCTTGACCGCTTTTTTGCGGTATTTTTTATGGTGTATCCAGGTACTTCACCCCTGCTTTTTCCCTCCATTTGACAATACTGAGGGCCGGCTAGCAGTATTGTTTAGTGCTGCTATCTGTTGGGCGCACTTATCCACGCAGCACATTATCTGTTCGCGCCACCGGCTGTGGCCGGCCATCGCGAAACCGCATTGAACGTGTTGAAAGAACTTTATTTGTGCAGCGTTTTGTAAGGTTCAAAAAAATTAAATAAAAAATAAACAATACAAATAAGGGACAAGGGAGGGGGAGGGTGTTAATGCACAAAGTCAAGCTCACTGCACCCATTACAGATCATAGCATGTATCATGCTAGCATCAGTCACAGCCCATAATAACAGATGCCATAGTATTGTGCAAGGCATGGGTGTATTCTGTATGATTTCAGGTAGTCAGTTTGAATCAGATTGAGCTAGTACATTAATTATCCATACAAATTATTACATTTACTGTATTAGTACATCAACTACACATGAAATGAAAATAAGAAAATAAGGACTTACATTAGTTAGCAGAAGATTGCTTGATAATTCTGGGGATACCTCAGGTATTCCACTAAATGCAAACTCCTCCAGATTTTTCAGGAGAACTTCCTTTTCATTGGGAGGAGCATCTACTATTTGCTTCAGTCGTAACTGGACCTGTAGGAGGAAATATTTGATTAGAAGTGTTGATGAGAAGTGTGACGAGAAGTGTTGATGAGAAGGGGTAAAAATCCGGGCTGTACATTTTGAGCTGACCTCATGAAGGGGGTAAAAGTCTGGGGGTAAAATTCCGACCCGTACACAAATTCAAATTATTTATTATCTCATAACATCTTTTGGAAATAATGTACATAGATAGGAGTTTTGTCAATATTTATAAAACTAATACTACACTGATATACACTCTTTATATAATTTGATGTGTTCTGATTAAGTTCACAACCGTGAAAATATATGTATAGTTCCGCGTTTAATCCATCAAACTGATGTCGCGAAACTCAAAAGTTCATGGCCGGAATTTTACCCCCTGGTTTGTGACGTCACGTTTGCCCAGGGGGTAAAATTCCAGGGGGATAAAAATCCGCTACCCCTATTATACTGTGGGGCGCCCGCTAGAAGTTGGAAGAAAATCATAAACGTAAGCATAGGTTGATATGCACATCAAATGAAAGGTCTGTATTAGTAAAATACAATAATGCAAATTTGAGCCCAAAATAACAGCTGGGTAAATATGGTAGCCGATGAAAGATTTAAAATGGCAGATTCAAGAAATATTTGAACGGCTGCCATTTTTGACTAGATTGTCTGTTTGAGTTCGGGTTTGCGGCAATGTGTTTTACTAGATAAGACCTTTAATTTTATAGTAAACTATGCTGCCATTTTTTACCCTTAAGAGAAAGAGGTAAAAAAAAATAATAATAGCTTGAAAGAGAAGTTAGGTTATTTGTGATTATTATTAAAATATACCAAGTTTTATTACTTTATCTGTAATGGTAAATATTGATATAGGCTGATTGCATTACATTCCCATAACAAATTCTAACAGCAATGACAAAATTTATTGCTTCATAGCATTTAACGTTACTGCCTAAATTCCTTGAAGAACCTATTATCATAATATTGAGTATGAACACAAAACAATAAAATAAATCATTATTTTAATTTTAATTTTGTGATAATGAATGATAATCAATGTGAAAATCAATTTCCCTATAACAGAAGATGAATTACAAAATAATTGAACGTTTGTGGACATTAAAATATGCTTACACAGTTGTGTATTATCTAATCCCGGCAGCAATTACAAGTTATGAGCTATCACACTAACAAGAGCCTAGTTCTAGTTGGTATAAGATATTTTGTACATCAGCATAAATAACTATTTGAAATGACGTGTTTTTCCTTTTAGTTTTGGCAATTCTTCTTCCATCTATAGGGTTTGAATATTTAATGTAGTACAGTAATTGTGATAGAAGTTAACACTTTAATTTTTGTTTGGGATCTACAATGGTATTTCAGATTGCAAATTTTGGACAAAACTGCTTACCGGTACATTTTTAATTTGTTTGTCTTTGGGAAACATTACAGCTCAGTATCTTAAAGTAAGGTAGGCTTATATTAATGTGAACAAAAATGGACATACTTGATGGCCTAACCAATATATATAAAGACTCGCAAGACAGTACCAGATGTTATGGAGCATAATAATAATAAAGTGAGATAAACTAGTCTTATCGTATGTATTTAAAATGTGTACTACACATTAAATTTCAGCTTAAATTTCAATTTTAGCTACAAATATGTTGATCTCGTGGCCAATTAATGTCTAGATGATAATCCTTACCTGGGCGAAATGTGTGCTCAAAGCTATTAAACTGGAGTTTAACTTTTCTTGTTGCTCCTCCATGAAGCGAAGTTTGTCTGAAGGAGCAGGGTCACTGAAATAAACAAAGATGGCCGAGTGAATTTCATTTGCAAAAGTACACTAGCACTGTTGTTTTTATGTATGATAACCAGGCAAACCCAGTTTATTAGGCGACCGGTGTCAACCTAGTTTGAATAATGACTTAACAAACTGGTTAACATGATTGCTGAATGAGAGGAGGAGAGTGGGTTCCTCTAACAACAGAGCATCTTGACAGTGGTGGTATTTAGGCCAATGCCAGTTTGATGATGTCAATGTGATTCAGTAAGGTGTATGAAATCAGAGTCCAAAAATTGACTGCCTCATCGCTCATGGGTTTATATTGTAAATGGTTTCTGCATTTAAAAACAATTAGTTTTGTGATGAAATTTATGGATTAATAATCTGAAAGAGATGCTGATCACTGCAAACACAATTTAGTTTGGATCATAATAGTAGAAAATATGAATATACTATTGATGAAAGTAAATGGAGTGAAATTTTTAGTTTTTGAAGTCAGTAAATAAACTTTTTTTTAGTTTTATATTATATGAACAAATTATAGAAGAGAAAAACGTTTATAGAAAAAATGCATTTTATTTTTAAGGATGAATGAACGGTGGGCCTAAATTCTCACACCAAACCAATGGTAAATGTGAAAATCTCTTGAAAGGAGTATCATTTGGGTGGTGTTGTGAGGTGTAGAGCAGGGTCTAAAACTATTGTCAACAGATATCGTCTAGTACTGCCTTGCCTAGGTAATCGGATGGTTTGCATGACACATTATGTGAGACAAGGTTTACCACTACGGATGATTATCGATAGTCAATGTTTTTCTTTCGATGTTCGATGTTTTTTGCATTGATTGTGGCTTACCAATACTTTTGTTATATCAAGGTTTATAGCCTAGTATTGAAATATCGCTGTTTTCCATTACTGAATTGTATTAGTTTTACACTAATTAGCAGTTGCAATACAGAGAGCAGACGAAAAACTGAAAAAAAACATTGATTAACATCGATGTTTTGCAACAATGTTCAAGGGGATGTTCGATGTACTGAGGATTGATGTTGATGGATGTGTGGGGATTGATGTTGATGTACATACATCAATGGTTGACATCGATGGTTGACCAATCAATGCTCATACTTACTTACCACCTAGGATTTCCTGTCAGGATAGATCTTATTTTTACAGCCAAACATACAAATTTACGTTGTTTATTCTTAATCAGCAGAGGTGCCCATCCCCCCCAAACCCAGTGGCGCAATCCCCCCCCCCATTTATGCTGCTCTTTATTTCAACCTACCCTCCCCCCCTCCAATTTACGGCAATTTCCCCTTTACCACATAAAACGAGCATTTAAAGTATTTAGTAAACTTGAGGTAAAGAAAATCAAACTTGCTGATAATCAAAATTAAATGTTTATTAGGAAACGTCATTTAACAATACAAAGTTATATCTAATTAATGGACGAATTATAAGTTTTTCAATTTACAATTATTAGAATATGTATTGTCAGCCAACACGCGCTCAGTATTAAAGGCAACGTCTTCAAAACGTTCAACACTATACTCAGTGAATTACTCTACTCCAACACAGTACTGTAACTGTACAATATATTTAGGTGGTGTAAATTATTGGGCTTAAGAATTCAAATAACTTTAATTGCACGAATAGTAAAAAGTATCTTGTTTCAAAATTAGGTAACTAAATAGGGCAGACTTACGAGGCGTTGTTTGCCACTCCCAGGCTGCCTTCTACAATAATCGCCGGGCAAAATACCCACAATACAAGCACCACAAAAGGTTTTGTGACGAGGTATGGTAATCTTATAACTCATTTTAATAGCCCCAGGTTTGCGTTTTATGACTAATAATGGTAGTGTTTTGGTGGTTCTTTAACTCCACCATCGTTAGGCTTACAAAAGGATCCACTTTTGGAGGTTTCTTAAGAATATGTTACAAACATTAAACAAAAACACGAAACGATAACAGATAGGCATATCAATTCAAGGGGGTACATTGCCGCGGGCAGAACTGGACGTAAAGTGAATCAGGTTATGGCGGGCCGACGTGGTCTCTGGATTGTCGTCTGTGCTATCTACAACGATCACGTTATCTACAGCTTATATTGGACTAATTGTAGTGTAGTGACGGAGGAGCAGGAGAGTGTTGAAAATATAAAGGGATTCATAATTGAGTATTCCACTCAAAATTATTGACAACAATAACCTAATATTAATATTAATATGCTGGATATAAATGATGGTCTCAAAATTCTACATTACTGCGTGAAAGGAAATTTATTAATTACTTTGGAAGAGTTTGAAATATCTAAATACATAATACTAGGGACAGCACACAAATGTTTAATGAAAACATTCGATTAAATATGAATCCAATTATATTTTCAACACTCTTCTCAGTCATTTTCACTACAATAGTCCAATATCAGCTGTTGAAAACGCAGACGACAATCCAGAGACCACGTCGCCACGTCGGTCCATCATAACCTTATCCTGATTCAGTTTACTTCCAGTCTTGCCGAAGGCAATGTACACGCTTGAATTGATGGCCTATCTCCTATCTGTAATCATTTTGCGTTAAATTATCGTAACTTACTCTGACTACACCTCCAGAAGTGGATATTTTTGTAAACCTGACGATCGTTGAGTTAAACAACCGCTAAAACATATGTAGCAAGTAAAATTTGACCCTACCGTACATGTTAAGGATTGTCTAACAAGATGCGTTTTTACCATTCTTAGAAGCAATCTTAATTACGAATGGCAAAATGTTCTTGGTGTTGATAGTGAACTACCGTATTTAGAAAAACTTTTTTCGGGCTGCTTATACAAAATTATTCATTTATTATGACAGCTAGCAAAAAAATATCCCCCCCCAAAATCCCCTTAAAAAAGCCCCCCCCCAAAATTCCTGTGGCGCAAACGCGCCACAGTACCCCCCTCTGGGCACCCCTGTTAATCAGTACCATGAAGTTCTTCTCACTAGAAGCACAGAAAACATACTACTATAACCCAGAATGCCAACCGCATAGTAAAAAGCATTAAGCGTTTTGAGAGAGCTTTGCCTGTCAATCCGTAGGCAGCGCCACCAGCGTTGCCATGCACTCAGCATAGCAAAGCTGGTGGCGCTGCCTACGAATTGACAGGCAAAGCTCTCTCAAAACGCTTAATGCTTTTTACCATGCGGTTGGCATTCTGGGTTATAGTAGTATGTTTTCTGTGCTAGAAGTAATTAAGTTACCAATACCCTGGTATTCAATTTAAATAGTACATGCCTACTACTGAGAAATTCAAGGTCTGTGAATATTGAGTATTGATAAATAACAAATTGTACATACAACTTACCAATTTAAAAAATTAGAGTAGTTCATAATATCCATTAATTCTAGGCCTTCCAAATCTGCAGATGCCATATCTAAGCAAAGTTGTTTGAATTCTGATGTCGGATCCAAACTACAGTCAATTGGCCTAAACATGTATGGAGATTCAATGTTTTCTTCTCCATTGTAGTCAAGCTTTCCAAAGTCATCAGTGTTTATATGTTTTCTATTATTGGAAGAAGATATATAATCTACAGACCCATCTTTAATGTGGTTATCTTCACAAGTACCTGTAATAAGTCCAGAATAAAAAGAAATATAGCCTAACTTAACACACGAATAAAAAGAGGTAGATTGCCATGTAATAATATATTTTAGATCAAAGTAAAAATATATATTAGGCTACTACACTTTGAAAATATTGAACAGTAGGCTACTGTATATTACAATAGAAACAATTACGGTTTGTATACAGTAAGTTTATCAATAAATACAGTAGGCCTACCGTATACAATAAAGAACTACTGCACTGTGTGTAGAGTATACAGTAGGCCTACAGGATTGAGTCGTTCAGATTAGTGGACGTCCGGATTACGGAGTTAAAAGAGGTTCTACTGTACTCCTTCTAAAGGCCTATTTTGCTTGGAGCGACTGTAGCGATATTCGCACAGCGATTAGCGCTCAACTACTATCGCTGTTGCAGCGGCCGTTTTGCTTAGAGCGATTGACTTTCGGTCGCCACGCGATTTTTCATAGTTGGGTACTTGAATACCAGCACTCACAGTGGTGAAGTCATGAGTGTGTTTTGTAACTTTTTAAAGTATCTCTTCAGTGAGCTGTTAGAAGACGAGGCTCTACTTGACCCTAGTGGAAGTATTAATAGACGATCGATAAAAAATACATAGTGGTGAAGAACTATGTATTTTTTTTAGGATTTGGGACGGATACGTATCACTAGACTTCACTAGATAGGATGTAAATAGAAAACTGTAGTGATATCAATGAAAAAATATATATTTATATCAATAAGAGCACATGAATTTCAGAAAATAAAACCTGGAGTCTAAATAAAAAAGATGTATTCATACAAAAACTAATACAATATTAACACCGACACTACCGGTACATAAATAACACATAGTCAGCTTGGAACAGTCAAGCATCCATATATAAAGCCCAAAGTACAGTAGACTCCCTCTTATAAGGACTCCTCGGGACCGAGGCCAGTCCGGGATAACGGTTTTTGCTGGTTAAACCGACGTTCCCAAAATCTCATTAAAACGGACCGTTTAAATGCATACTCTATAAAGTATTTGACTTAAAATTAGGAGAGTATTGTATTTATAATCTTTCACACGAGAAAAAGTCATTTCAGTACCGCTCACTTCCTGCCGATCTAGTCCGGTTTAACCGATGTGCTGATAAAAATTATCTGGATAAAGAGATGTCACTTCTACTGAGTGTGGTCCGGTTAAACCAATGTCCAGTTAAAAGGGGTCCGGATAAGAGGGAGTCTACTGTACCCATGAACTTTTGAGAAATCTAAAAGGCAAATCCCATAAACCATATAGGCCTATTTAAAAAATATTCGTCATGACAAGAAACTTGGCGCAAAACTATCCATTATTTCATAAATTGCCCTATAAGGGCGTAATTGCTTTCCAACGGGAACTTTCCATATACCTAATCTTAAAAATACATCAGCTGTACTTATTTGTATGTTATTCTTTCAATTTATTATCATATTAAAATCAGGTGTGATTATTTGTTTAGTACAGTAGGCCCTTGTATTCTGTTTTGTTTATTTCAGCTTAACTTAACCAATCAATAGTTTTATTAATACTTATGAAGTCAAACTGGGGCTAGTTTTATATTTAAATTCGAATCGACGAGGATTACCAACAAAAAAGATCAAACACAACCATTTAAGCAACGACAATGCAAAGTTTGCTGGAAATAAAGAGTCGCCTGTTTCTTCTACAATTTAATGTGGAAAATGAAATGAATTATGTAAGGAAATATAAACAAAACAGTAAACTTAGGCCTACAATCGTAACAGCACACTCTCAGAAAAATTAATGTGAACAAAATAAATTATGGTTATTTCAACCCCTATTAATGAGCCTACTGAGTAAACTGCACTGTTTTGAGGTTCTGCGCATGTGTCGCTGCGCATCAGTCACGGGGCTATTATCGCAAGACTGGTGCCCTGGGCAGTGGTCCGCGACTCTTGTGACAGTCGCTCTACAAAGCAAAACAGGACAAGGCAAACTACGTTAGAACAGTGCCCAGCTATTATCGCGGTGCGACTGTCGCTGCAATCGCTCCAAGCAAAATAGGCCTTAAGCTATTAACATAGATAGGCTAGTTCCAACATGGCCTAATGTTCCTGTCCTTATGAAATTACCCTTCATCTGACTTAGAAATAGAAACAAGCTGGTGTGTTGAGTAGAAAAAATTGGTTCTAAACTAACAATCTGTTAGGGGCTGCAGGATATTTGCCTTTCATAGGTAAGATAGGCCTATCACCTTGGATTGAGATACGGCTCAATACTTGGTTTAGTAAAAACTAAAAGTAAATGTACTACAGGAATAAATACTTACTTGTACTATCCATGTTATGTTACTGATATGTTCAAGGTTAATACAATGTAAGAAAGCTTAATATACCCAATTTATATATATACTGTATATTTATATAGGCCTTTAATGTGTGTGCAATTTATAGTGCTAGATACCAGACGTTATATTTCATGTAAACAGACATCTCACTTTATAAGCTGCTAAATACAATAGTTACAACTTTCTATTTTAAACTTCATTATTCAATGAGTATTGTATTAAAAACTTGCTGTAGCCCAGATTGATTGATATTTGTATAATTTAGTAAACATAGCAAATAGCAGACAGTCAATACACCAGATGACAATATTGCACATTCACTCACACTGACAAGTGACAACGGCCTTCTTGAGTTCTTGGTCTTTCTTTGGCAACAAGGCCAATTGAATTGACTAATATAGTATATCGTTTACAGTTCCACGGCTGAGGCGGCCGTGGTTGTTCGGTGTCGTAAGAGACAGACAGTCAGAAATAGTGGCGATATTTCATAGCTTATAATCTCATAGCATAAAACTGTAATTTGTTATTCCTTAGCTTATAATAACGTTTTTATAATAATGTTTTTTTCAATGGGTGTGTTATTCCAAGTTTCATGAACGACTGATTAATTAATTAAATTGGTTTACTTTATGGTTGTCAGGTTCTTGAAGAATGTGGACTTCTTCCTCGATGTACAGTTTTTAGCTTACACATATAGATTTTCATTCATGATCATGTGAAGGACTATCCTAACTAAACTTAATCCTGAGTAGGTGGAACGAAAAATCGATTCATTGGACACGTCAAAGGGGGTTGGTCGGTTGGTCCGTACTTCATTCCTCCTGTTGTCTTTCGGCACTGTAGTGACTTACTATGTGGCCCCCTCTCTCGCCTCTTCAACCAGAAGAATGTTTCAAACTCTTCTGCAAAAAAGTGTATGTCATTGAAGACCAGCGATACATCATTCCTATCTTCAAGGGTGGAAGTCGTGATCCAGCATCTTAATTGTAATAGGCCTAACAAAAAAACAAACCTTGACCTATTTGAAGAATTTGTACTATCAGCCCTAAATTAAAACATCTCAAGTAGACGCAATTTAGCCCTCGATTGTGATTGTAGCAAAGCGTCATATACAACTGGTATTTAAGCTTTGAGTCTTGGCTCAAAAGCTGACTAAAAGGAAGATCTTTGATTGTCAAGTTTGGCAGAGGCTGCTCTGACCCTTCCCAGTTATAGGAGGAGTCCCTCAATGCTCCATGTCCTTTTCAATCTATTTATTAATGACATAGGCAAAACTATTGAGAGTAATTTCTTGCTTTTTGCATACGACATAAAGTTGTTTGATGAAATCAGTAACAATGATGATGGCACAATTTTACAGCGTTCCCTGGATGGTGTTTCTACATGGCGTGAAGACAACATGACGACAAAGCTAACAAATGCAAGGTAATACTAATAAATGTCTTTCTGTCGGACTGAAAATGTTTTTCATGCTGAAAATCCAAGGATTTAGCTAACAATGTGTGAAGGTTTTCACGGCACGAGGATCTAGGCGTGCGCCTCAGTCCATCTATCTCTGTCTCCTGAGCTGCATATTGATGTCATTAGTAGATTTTTGGACTGTTATGGCGTGCAGCAAGAAGTGGGTTGTATATGCACTCAATAATAACCCTCTATAAAAAAAAAAACACTTACACTCCTTATTCTTGAATATGCCTCAGTTGTATGGAATCCTTACTACTTTTTCATCACATTTTCAGACTGGAGAGGATCTAGAGAATATTTGTAAGTCTTGTGGGGTCGATGATGGGCATGTCCTTTTCTGAAGTTCCAGTAGAAGACCTCTGATGAAAAATCTCAATATCTGTCTCCTTGAGGTTCGTCGTGAGCTCTCTGATCTGACTTTCCTATACAAACTGATAAAGTGGAGCTCTTGGCTGTTCGTACTTAAGTTACTTGCCTCCATTAATCTCAGAATTCCTAGGACTACCAGATCAAGTAAATTGACCTCTTTGTCCATAATATGCATTATATATTGCACATACTACCTGAAGTTTGGACCATTGGCTCGTCTTCGTTGACTTGGCAACTCTCTTCCTGGTTGAGGTGGACCTATTCTACACAAGTAGCCTGAAACTCTTGAAGAGTAAATGGACGTAGGCCTAAATTAACTGAAGAAGCAGTATCTACATTCTAATCTAAATATTTTCTGTTTGTTTGCTGCTTTGTTATTTAGTTTCTAGTTTCTGTACTGACCTGTTCTCATCAAATACAACAAATGGGAGAAATAATAAATAAATACATAAATAAACAAGGTTGTGGAGTCTAGGTAAAATTTTCGCCTGAATTCAAAAAAGTGTTTAACATTGGTTTGTAGCAATAAAAACAACATTTTAAGAACACAATTTAGAGTTTTTTTTTATCACAGTATCCAAAAAGATTAACGTTGACAAATATATTTTTTTAAATCACAAATTGTATACCTACTAAAAAACTTGAAATGCGTTTAAGTGTCTTTTCACAGTAGCAATGTTAAACAAAATTTACATTACGGTCATTTAACAGTATAAAGTTGAGATTTATGTTATTAGCCATCATATTCAACCCAGGGTGACCGAATCCATTCATTCGACCGAATGAGTGTTCTATAAACAACGCCATTTATGAACATTTCTGCTGTGGACTTGAGTTGACCACCATGTTTTTTATTTCCGTCCGATTCTCTTTTATTCAAGCTCTGTTGAAAATTTCAGTTCAATTGGTGAATTTGCTGTGTCTCATTAAGTAATTTTGTTATATTTTAAAGGAAACTTTGTTCTTAGAAAGGTAAATAAATAGATTTGCATGTTTTAAACTCTCGTAAAATGGTGTAATTTACTAGCCAATAGCCTACTGTAAAATATTATGATGTAATTAAACTTAGTTTATGTCTGGATGGGCCAAGGCCTAGGCTATTGCAAATCTTACCTTTTCAAAGCAAATTGTTTTACTTAATTGTTTCTGGAAAATTGAGTATAGTGCTTTTTATAAAAGATGTTGGGGGAGTTTAACATTGAGTTAAATATATGTGTAACTTACATATAACTTTGGCTAGGCTACTTTATCTTAAATTTTACCAGGCCTAGAAAAAATCAATGTTTGTTCTAGGCCTGATTTAGTTTGTCGTTTCAGTCAAGAGCCTCAAAAGTTTTTAGGGACCCTAGATACCGTCTATGCACACATGCGCAACCCGACCTGTCTGCTGCCACTATTGTTTTGATGACTTACAAACTAGGTCTTAGGCTGCAAAACTGCCAGGCCTAGGCTATTTTTAGTTAACTTAAGCCTATTTAAGGTTCATAGCCTATATTTGTGATCTTAGAATTCTGCATTTAATTTTGAGGAGATAAGTTAGGTACTCCTTTTCTTTATTAAAATTAGGGTAAACTTGGACAGGAAAAAATGTGCTAGGCCTAGCCTTTTTGCTCCGAGGTCTCAGGTCCTGTCCTGATTAAGTTAGGGTTTTAGTTCAAAAGGACCGAGCATTGCTCGAAGGTTCATTTTATTGGTTTGTGAGGTAGTCCAATCCTCCAACCTGAAAGGCCTAACTTAACGTTTTGTTCTAGACCTAGGCCTAAAGGAAATTTAGGCCTATTCTTTATCTGAAGCCATTGAGTTCCAATGATCAACTCTCATTAAGTTAATAGGCTAGGCCAATCAACTTATAGAAAAACTGGTAGGCTAAAAATGCTGACCTCCAGTCAACGCTAACTTAGGCTACAAAAGTTATTTTTTAAAGTTGATTTTTTTGTGTTGACTGGGACGGGTGGCGTCGTCCTGTAATCCAGCTACTAGGAGGTCACAAATTGTGGATATTTATAGGCATGCACTGTGGATGCGATGCTCCCTGGTGTGGATTAACGTCCGCACTAGTGAATACAGTAGAACCCCTCATATTCGGCCACCACGGAACCAAGTCCCTGACCGGATAACGATTTGGCCGGATAAACCAACCTAGGGAAAATGACAATTCATACCTAATAATAATAGGTAATCAATATATGCAATCAAAAATTCTGTTCTGGGATCATTTTTAGAAAAATAAACATGTTTGTAAAAAGAAAAAAAGTTTTTGTAGGTTAAAGTCATTAACCCTCCGAGTGTCACTTGTTTTGGCCTTAATGTCTGCCTATTTTTTGCTCATTTGCTAGGTTTTATTAAAACGGATCTGAGAAGCTTGAAAACAATGTTAATTATACTGTTCTATATACCATTTTGTTTGGAAAATCATGGGCTTCAATATTATACATAAAACATAAGGAACATTTGTTTCAAAAAAATTTTTTAGGTAAAAAAAATATTTTGGGAAATTAAAAAAAAATAATAAGTTCGCGCTCAATGAAATTGTATAAATTATAGGCCTATAAATATTTGAAAATAGCCACTTTGTTCTAAATTTTATGAGGATTACAAATATATAATAATATAAGGAAGTAGATTTGCAAATAAATAAGTTATGGGCAAAAAACAGATTTCAGTACATAGCGTTTAGCACCATAGCTAGGAATCTGGCTGATAATTTACATCAATATCACTACCTACTTCTTCAGGATCATCAACCAGCCCTTCAAAATCACTTAAATCTTCTTATAATGCCCCACGTACATCACTACTTTTGATTTTTTAACACTAAAACAATGATAAACGTAATAAAACACATCAGTCATCGGTCCGAGGTTAACCAAGCTGTTTACAAATACGCACGTCAGCTGTCTGCTACAATATTTTCGTAACTAAAATTAAAAGCGCTTAGAGACAGACCTCCGGAGAAAGCTCTGAATCTGTCAAATAAAACGATACCTAACTCGATCCAGTTCAATCCGATTTTGTCAGTCATAGAGCCTTCGCCGTAAACAGTGTTTGTGAGTCGCTGCAGCGACAAATAACACTCTGAGGGTTAAGTAATGAATGTACAAATATTATGATTCCAGGTAACAAAACCTATTGAATGGAGGTAAAAATGACAATAATTTGTATGTAAAGGTCATTAGCACTAAAATGGTACATGCATTTCTACTCAAGATTCTTAACCATATTGTGAAATACAAAAATTAATGTACTCGTACTGTACTGTACTAACCCCACATTGGAAATAATCAACCAACTGATAATAGGTTAGGTCTACTAGCTCAACTGAGTATAGTGACTCAGCAAATAAATGTATAAACAAACAGATAAATAATGAGAACTATTTATTGTATGACTTGAGCAGTCACAAAGCCTAGTGCTTGCTTCTAAACGTCTGTAAGCTGTGAGAAAAAAAATTGATATTGGCTTCCTGGAAGGGGCCG